CCGGAGGGACACACTGATGCGGGCAGGGCTGGCAGCCAGTCCCCCGGGCACCTGGGCCTGGCCCGGCTGCCCCTGGGTCTCAGGACTGAGGGGTCCCCCCACGTGAGACCCCCCCAGGTGAGATCCCCCAGGTGAGACCCCCCCAGGTGAGACTCCCCCAGGTGAGATCCCCTTCCTTCCACAGCAAAAACTCCGATACCCACTCTGATTGGATGTACTGGGGTCACGTGAGGGCAGCCTCCAACCAATGGCTGTAGTGAGAAGGAAGATTCTGATTGGTTGAGCCCCAGCTGATCTCAGGCAGGCAAAACTGGGGTACAGAGGCCACAAAAGAGGAGCAAGTGGGGGGGGCGATTGTCCACTCTGCGGTTGGTGTGGGCTGGAGCCCCCAGGGAAGGCACGGGGGTCGCGGGGTTCTCGCATCCACCCGCCCAGCGGACCCCTGGCAAGGGGAGGGGGAGCATCGCAGGTGGAAGGCACGGATCATCTGCCCCGCGTTTTTCTTCACGTCGCATCCTTTCTCAAAGCTGGGGCGCCATCTGACTGTCAGTATGTGTGGGGCCCCCGGGCTGGGGTTGCCAGATTCAGCGAATAACAGTTCAGGGGCCCCTTCCCATCTGAAGCTCAGCCAGGCCCCACAGAGCCCTTCCGGTGCAAGAACGGCGTCTGCAATTGGGAAACTCCTGATCTCGGGCCTGCACTTGTTCTGTAGCGTCCTCGGCCCTTCCCCGAGGGATCACGCTTGTTCCGCGTGGATCCGGGCATCGCTCGCAACCACGGCATCAGCCTCCGGACAGGGGATTTCCCAGCTCAGCGCGATGATGACGCCGAAACCCCAAGAACTGTGACTTTTTTGTTTCTCTCTCACATAAAAGATGTCTGCACATCGGCCGATCATGTACCCCTGGGACAGTGACTCAGCAGGGCTCTCCCCCGCCCTCCGTCCAGGCTTTCACCGTCGGAGTCACCTCATGGGCGGAGAGGGCTGCTGAGCTCCCGCCATCGCCTCCGCCTCCCATGTGGCAGCAGGCGGCAGAAGGAAGGACAGAAGGTGCCCATCCCAGCGAGGTCAGCTCCTCCTCGCACAGGCTGCTGGGAAGTC